AATAGCAAGCTGCTACCAAATATTTTATAAAGCCAAAACAACGTGCTTAACAACTCTCCCAGGTACATGTTGCTACAACCATGCTACAATATTGCAACATTGGTTTCATTGTCGATGACACTGAAGCCGAATGAGTGTGACACTTGCTTTGCGGCTCTCGATACTCTAAGATATTCTCAAGAAGAGAACTGCTGTTTCTGCTTTAATAGACATACTGTTATGATTCTGATAAAAATCATAAAACATTAATGTAAATTAGGTAAACAGCAGTGCCCTGAAGCCAGAAGGCGAAATTACCTATTTTGCTGTCACGGCTATTTCGTGTTCACCCCTTGTTTTATGCAAGTGACATTTTTCAAGACTTTTTATCAGAATCATAACAGAATGCAAGGAAGTCAACTGTTAATACATTTATGTACAACAAACAAAAAATAGATTTTTGTAAAAAAAGTGTAGAAAAGATCCTCTGGGCATATGCCCTGACATGCCCGGGCATGGGCGCTTACCCGGGCATGGGTGCTTACCCGGACAACTATGGCATTTAGATACGCTGGAATAATGTGCAGACCTGATTAGTTTTGGGTTGACACTATAAATATATAAATTCTGTCATTTACATAATAATTAGCCAATTTTCAGCTATTCCACTGATTCCTCAAAAACAAGAACATGTTTCAATGAAACTTGGTACATGTATACATATGCATAGTAATAATGCAGACGTGGCTAGGTTATGGTATACCAGTAAATCTGTGCCTAATTTGCATACTAATTGGACAATTTTTAACTGTTCGATTTCTATCTCAAGAATTGTTCACTTTACTTCAAGTAATGCTCAGACATGATTGAAATATGGTGGAAATCTGTGCATATTAATTACCTAGTTATTCCAGTAATATGTCGAGAACTGTTATCAATGAAACATGATGCACAGATGCATTGTGATAATATCCAGACCCTGATTACTTTTCGATTGACATCATTGAATAGCCACATTCGAGATGGATGCAGCAGCTCAGCTGATTGCATTTATTTTATTACCACGTGTACGCCAGCTGACTGAGCTAGAGTCACTGGTTGTTTTCGTGATACATGTATTTTGCCTAATTCACAATTTGCATGCTTATAAAACTGTGTACTGTGCTGATGCTGTTGTATCGCAGTTTAACCCCTATGTGAAAATTTTAGTAAAGGTATTTATTTTGTTGCGCATGGAAATTGGAAAGCAAAATCAATTGTGTGAGGTAATATGCAGTACTGGTGTCTCAATTTTACAGGCCTTGGGTGTAACATTTGAAATAATGCCAAAAATCAAGTCCAAAACTTGTGATTACAAATAATATTAAATAGATATTAATACACGTAATAAATCAGTATTAAACACCACACCTTGCAGTGTAAACATTTGTATTATCCGCCAACAATAGTAATTGTTTTGTGCAATTCTGTGTACGAAGTAAGCACCAAGCAAAACATCACACACACTCAAACACACTTGAATCATGCAGAACGTCTATCATGACATCCTGCACTTACTTCTGTCTTCATTATATTTTACAGGTCAAACATTTTGAAAGAAAATATGAATATGAGAAATATAAAGCAAGGCTTTTAACTGAAGGGGCACGAAAAAAAAATAGCTGATATACAAGGTGTGAATAAGTCGAGTATGTGGTGCCGTTCTACACATGATTAGTTGCATATGTCAAGAACTATCAAAAAAACTGTGAAGGCAAACAAGGTTAATACTGAACTTTGCTTTTATTTGAAAAAAAGTCAGATGCATTTTTGTAAGAAAAACAGACTATGAAATTGTACTATGTTTAAAAATTATAAAAAAATGGTATTTACATTGAAAAATGTTTCATAGCACCAAGTATCAGCCAAAATATTCTGTATAGAACTGGAATAAAGTCAATGGAATTGTTTTTTTTTATATTTTTATCATAAATATGGTGTTAAATAAAATACTATACCCTGTAAAAACTTAGTGGACAGATTTAAAACAGAAATAATTTGCATAGAAACATGCTAGCTATGATTATAATATCACCCCCACCCCTATCCATCTACCCCAAAAATTAAGTAGTTTCTCACCCCCACACCCACCCCAAGGTAATTGTATTTACACAAAACTTAACAATGATTCTGTTCTTTGAAATTAAACTACAATTTGAATTGCACTTTTAATGTAATAGGCATTTCGTCCTATCCAGCATGACAAGGTCTCTTTTTTTTTCTCCACAGTGGGTACATTGCACATTTAGTTCATCTGTTTAGACATTATCTGGTGAGCCATCAATAGTGGATGTCTCAGGTTTTGGTTCTTTGTCATCCATTGCAACATAGTCTGCATCGCCTGCTTCGCCCTCTGAGCCTCCACCTTGGCAGCCTGCATCACTTTGCGAGTGTATACTAATAACGTCCAACTCATAATCTATACAAACAAAAGAAATACAAATGATTGATTGATGTGTATGGGTAATTTTTCTAAAATGTATGAAAATTATTGTCGGTTGCATTTGGGAGGAGAATCCAAGCTTGTCTTGTGTCTTCCCAGTAAAAGATCATGCATGTAAAAGATCATCACGTGTTCTTTGTGAAGTCGTTTGATAATCATTAAATGAAGTGACGTTCTTGGCATCATGTTTGATTTTAACAAACATTACAGGACATTACAGACGGTAGTTTACATTATGTATGGTTACCTGCATCAGGTGAGCTGCTGCAATTGTCTGGAGTCTGTACATAGGTTGTGCAATTGTAATCTTCTACTTCATCTGTTATTGAGATAAAATAATGATACCCCTTAAATACATGTACAAAGTGAGGATAAACCGCTTTGATTTTATGAGAGAAAAGTTATTGTGAGTTCGTGAAAATCATGAAAGTTTCACAGGCATTTTTGAGTCACAGCATATTCTCAAAACTGTTTCCTCGCAAATGCTATTAAGATTAACCCTTAACAAAACATCAAAATGTTTGCAGAATAAATTCAAAGGGGGAAATGATCAAATATTGAAAACAGTCTTCTCTAATTAGTTGAGGTAATTGACATTCATTATTTTTTGTTTTCATATTTACAAATAACAAGTGGAGGGGGGACTTCATAAAGGTGTTGCCTGTTATATCAATATCAAAATGTATTCAAATCATGGAGCTTCACAATCAAATGTACAATCTCTGCAAATACTGTCATACTGCCCTCTAGTGTCATAAAGAAAATTTATTTTTACCCTTTTCCTCAAAAAATGGATTTTCCCTCATTTTCAGTGTAAGTCTGGAGAGAGGATGATCAACATGTTTATCTTCCCTTTGTTTACGTCTACGATACCAGATAACAAATGCGATAACTGCGATGAGGATAAGTAAAGCCAGGATTGCGAGCAATATAGGTAACCAGATCCCAATGGCTATAATGAGAGAGGAAATGAAAATGAATATATGCTGCTGCAATCAACTAGTACCACAATAAAACATGTGTAGGACATTATTTGATGTTAGACTACTATGGTACTACATATTACCTGATCCAGTGCTTTTTTCACTTTTCTTTGGTGAAAATATATATATAGATTTCAATATGAGATTGTCACTGTCTTCTGGTAATGACCTGATGTACCCAATCATTTCATCCATAGCTTCTTTCGTTACCTCCATTCCTCCACCACTCTCCTGAAATAATATTTAGAAATTTGTTACCTTACTCTTCATGATTGATATTATGGTTTGAGAACCAGGTGATGTATCTCACAAATTTTTCAAGAAACAATTTCTTTAGGGGTGGGGGTCACAAAACTTCACAACTGTGGATATTTCACTGAAGTTGAATAACACCCTGAAATCAAAATATTTCAAAAATTCGAAAACAGTAACTTGATTTATTTTCTAGGAGTATTACCTGTGAGACATAGATGACATTATCTTCTCCACTCTCCAAATCTTTATCACATTGAATAATCAATCTGTCTTCCATTGCATGTGGTCGTAGATCTTGAATGTCCCGCAATGCATCGCAGACTTGTTCTACGGTCGTATTCTAAAACAAAAATCAGAATAAATGACGATATTGTAATTTCATTTATTAAAAAATGTTTTATGTTAATTGTAATATGTAACCAAGAATATATAGTCTCACAAAGTTCACTTCCATTCAAATTATTGATATAATATATTTAAAGGGCGGTACGAAATTTTTTTGATGTATGAAAGGTATCGATCACACGCCAGTGGTAATTAGTGAAAGTGGCGCCAAGGGCAAAACTTGTATTTGTGATTTCATTAGAAAAGCACATTGGATTGTGGGAAAATCTATGTTTATCAACCCAACTGTCACACATGCGTGGCGTGACAACCACTGGCCTTTAATGTTTTGATTTCTAGGGGGCAACACACATTTCTGCAACCTTTACCACCAGTATTACTATAGTAATCAAATAAAAATACACTCTGAGACTTGCTAGCTTACCATTGGCAATATATTGAAATCCAGTCTCATTCCTACATATGTGCATGCATATGTGGTTGCCTTTTCCTCAAAGAAAGATTCCCCACATTTAGCGTCCTTTGGTGCTGGGTCATTCTCGTTAATACATTTACCAAAGTCCTCACAAACTCCTTGTAGACATTCAATATCTGACACTAGACTACACGGTGCTTCAGGTGAACATGTGTTGATAACATGATCATTAGTTTCATCTATGTCAGGATTGAGGTTCAGACAGTTATCAGGTCCACACCAAATCTGAAAGAAAAAATGTTAGTTTGAAAATGTGTCACTGCATTCTCGTCACTGTGGATATATTTTTGGAGAAAATATTACTGTTTAAACAACTTTCAGATTTTAGATTTTAGTGTGACTGAAAGTTGGTGGAGGAGATAATTAGGTAAGGTACTCAAAAACTCTATTCATTTTAACCATCTATAAATTTGCAAAGCTATCAGACTATAATTCTTTTTTGACATGGGTTATCACTCCAGACACTACAGGTCCAAAAAGAAACCTTATTTGGCAGCACATGTATACAGTACAACAAGAGACACTAAACCTTTATGCCACACATGATACTACTGACATTTCACCGCTTCGTAACGAGTATGGTGACACACATTAGAATATTTTTATCACTGCATGTCTTGAGTGATTTTCCACTTACCGGTACTGCATGCAAACATAAACGCTCAAGTGTCCCTTGTTCTAAATTGAGGACTAAATTTCTCAATTTTTAACTGCTACAAAATTCTGTGTTTTTTCGCCCATGAAAATTTGTCCTTACAAAATTAAAATGGTGTAGTAATGGTTCATAACCGATAATTACCTTACTGCATTTAATATTTCCATCGTCACAAAGACAGCCATTACAGTCGTCTTCCCACTCGGCACCATGAGATATTATACCTTTTTTCATCACAAAACAATCATCTGGAGCTCCTGAGAGATAAATCATATAAAGTGAGTCACTGTCTTCTTTTCATTATGTTCAATTAACATGTGTAATAAACATCTAATTCATGCTGAGATCATTCAAAATTAGAAACAATGTATATTGTTTTTTGCCTTGGCTCCAACAGGACACTGCGACCACCGCCCTTTAAGTCAGCAGGAATTAAAACAGGGACTGAAGACCTTGAGTAAGACACAGTTTTACAGTAATGAGATATGAGTTACAGACAGATAAAACAATAGTCTGCACATGCATGCAGTGCCCAGGGTCTTGTGTAATACAATCTGTTTCACACAGAGAATAAGTGAATTCCCATCACAGTAGAGATCATATAGTTAAAATGACTGGTGTTAGACTTACTTGCTGTGCAGTCTTTGCCTTCCCACCCTTTAGGACACGCACACTCAAAATCAGCTAACAGATCAGTGCATGTGCCACCATTTTTACATGGCATTGAACTACATTCATCAATATCTGGGAGAAAAAAACAATGAAAGTAGTAATTTATTTTATTTATCACTGCTATGAATGAATTGATGTGTTCATTATTATTATAATAATAGTAATATGATAGTGGTGTCATTATATTTACCTCTTTGGCAGTGATGTCCTTCCCACCCTGGAAGACAGTCACAGTGGTAAGCATTGATATCATCAACACAGGTCGATCCATGTTTACACTCATTTACTACGCAATCATCAATATCTACAAAAAAACAATCGTAATATAGTTGAGGAACTCTTGAAATATCAAGTCACTTGGTTAACACCCCTGAATTATTATTAATAATATATTTAACATATACTTACTGGTTTTGCAATATCTTCCGGTAAATCCAGTGTGGCATTCACAAATAAAAACAGTTGGCTCACTAATACAAGTGCCATGATCACCACAAGCTCCAGATGGAACCATTTCTCCACCGACACCTGGTACCAAACAGTGATTGATTTCTGAAGAAATAGCACAAAAATCTCATAAATGTATATTTGATGACATAATAAATGGCAAGCGATCCATTAACGATCAGTTTTTCAAGTCACTTTTATTTATATAGCAATTCTATTTTAACTTCCCACATTGGGTGTAGCATTGATAAATGATAAGTTTGACAATTTAACATTTATATTCAGTCAGTACTCTTTTTAACACAGACATTATATAACAATATAAGCTTACCACTCTCACAGTTTACTCCTTCATATGAAAGTCCACAGTTACATTCATAGATACCAGGACCATCAATGCAAGTACCTCCATTCTGGCATGGTGAAGAGTCACACTCATTAATTTCTACAAAAAGTGACAAAACACACTGTTACTTACATAACCCTATATACAGATGTACACAGTTACTGTAATGCAGGGCAAATTTTTAATAACAGCAGCTGTGAGTTGAGAAATAAATTTCTAATTTTACTTATTTGTTATTTTGTACTTCTTATTTAAAAAGATTCCCAATTTCAGATGTTGATTTATCACAATTTATTCCTTGAGTCCCATCATTTTTCCATTCCAGATTTTGCCTGTTTTATGTATTTCTCTATTATTTGTTTTTATAATTTTCGACCAAATTGACATAATTTTTTTATTAGCTACATCTCTTGATCAAAATTTAGGGGAAAATGTGAAAAAATTCTGTAGGTTTCATTTTGTGAATGGTGAGGGTAGTACTTGCCTGTCTCGCAGTTAATACCAGTGAAACCAGTTGTACACTGACAGTTGTAAGCATCTGGTCCTGTACTTTCACAATGTGCCTCATTTAGGCATGGATTGCTCCGACAAGAATCCAAATCTAATAATGAATAAAAATAGTATTGATAAAAACTGATTTTGTGAGTCAATTGTAAAAGATGAGAAGTTGTATTTGGAGCTCATTGAACAGCACTTACCAATATTACAAAGTTCCCCTGCCCAGGTGTCGTCATTGCAGATACAGTCATTTCCAACAGTGCAAAAACCATTTGCTGAAAAAAAATTAAATTAAAAAAATATATATTTTATTTCCAACATAGAACCGGTATTGTCTGTGTTTAAACTCTTGACAAATAGTTGAAAGTACTCACCACATCCTGCTTTAGGAATGCATTGGTCACAGCGTCTACCCGTCCAGTACTCTTCACAACTATAAATGATAAACACAATACTTTAACACTATAAACTAGGATGTGACAGCCGGGGTGCCTTGAAAAGCAAGGACAGTCACAGTGTCATATGTGATAGCATACAATTCTCAATAATTGTCTGACTTGATATTATTTCCTGAATTTAGACTATGATCTCTAAGACAAGGGTACAGTGATGGGTAGAAACGTTTTGGTGAGCATGAAATGATAGCCCAAATGTGAAATCCTGTCAGAAAAAAAGGATTGGTTCCAGTTAGGGGCTGACCATATAAAACTTTGGGGAGGGCATGGAAGATTGAGTATAATGTTTTCACTCATAATTATGTTACTTAAACTCTAATCAATTCAACCCTATGTAATTTTACATTGACTTGAACACATAAAGAATATAATTGCTAGTCCATTGTGGCTAGATTTGTTTTCAGAAATGTTAGTTTTAATTGTTTTTCCCCTCAGATCCTCTAAGCCCCCCCCCCCAAGAATTCAAACAGCCCTCGCCTTATCAAACCCATTTTCCAGCATTGCCTAAACATTCTTTTTTATAATGTCAATGTTTGACCGAACAGCCTAAAGACAATAATACTTTCATGCGTTAATGTAAATAAAGTGTACTATCTGTAAACTTATTTGAAGTCTTTAACGTATGTAGTAAACTCTGCCATGAATTGCAATCAGCCACTAAGATAACTTGTGAATTGCGTAATTGTTGCATGGCATATACTACTTCATATGTCAAATGCTACAAACAAAATACATCCGATAATACAGCTTGACTTTTAACATATGGCATTATTTGATGCTGCTGCTCACACATCTTGAGAAAAAAGAATAACAACTGAACTACTTTTTGCACAAAAAATATGTCAAACGCACATGAAATTGGTGATTTATGAGTCAATTGTACCATTGGTTCCTATGGTAAAAGGTTTCATCATGTGTAAAAATTCTATAAATATATTCGGGTACATTTTCACGAATGCTATTTATTTTTTTTATGAAATATCAGTAACACTTCACGGAAATCTATTTTTGCTGCATGTTTTTCAACATTTAAAAAAAATAAAAAATATTCCGAGCTAGGTGAATAAGCTTCAAAGCTTCTATTTTTAAAGTTTTTGCTCTTATTTAATATGTTGAATGACCTTAAATAAACTTAAAGCAAGAGGCAACTTTTAACTTGTCAAGTACAATTGAGTATTTTTAATTTTCAAATCACGGGAAATGTGAAAAAACTTACATGCATTCTCTGGGCTGTGTACAACTGCCATGAATCGGGTGACATCCAGTTGCACAAAGAGCTGAGAAACAAGAGAAAAGCAAAGTGATTATAATGTTATTTAATCTCTGACATAGTGATTAATGTTGAGGTCTGTGACCAGAATCTAGCTGTCAAGGCTAAGCAACTGATGAAACACATTACTAAGCTGACTTACAATAAGTTTGGATAAATATAACCAGATCTAATTTCACATTCCTCAATATTGCATCCTGGAAGAAGAAAAAAACACACATCCCCATTCCTTTCTTCTATCATAGTGATGATTACTTACCCATATCACAATCAGGTCCGACCCACCCTAATTTGCAAACTATAGTACCAGTGGAATATTCACATGTGTAAGTATCTTCTGGTTCAGCTTTACAGTATGTGTTGCAGTGACGGTCGTACCAATCGGCTTCGCAGAAAACCTACGGATTTACAAATGCGTTATTCAACACTGAAACACAATGAAGTGATGTGATTCAGTGAAGGAAATAAGCGAGACCACCTCATTTACAATTCATTTGAATGCATCCTGTGTCAGAGTTATTGTGATACCTTTTTAGTGTTAGTCAACCCTTACATATTGATAACAACAATAACAGGTACTTTTACTGGAGGAAGGGATGTATTAGTAAGAATAGAATTGCTGCAAACATGTACTGCTTTTTGTCGCCTTCCAAACTTTCATGTAACTATTCTGTATTGAAAATCAGTAAAAATGTTGTTTCTAGCACAGCAAGGTTAAACACTATTTTATTCTCATTAACACTCAATGAATACCGGTACTAAATGTTTTGAATACCGAAGTCAACTTTTATCACTTGAGTAATTTTGCCAATGAAAAGTTTTGTTCAATACTTCAACAAAAATATTATAAAAAAAATGAGCAAAAGTGCATAAATGTTTGGCAGGCAAATTTATAGCACCGCTAACTGAACTGTCAGACTATGCCATCAATTCAACAACAAAAATAAACATGAAGAGACACATGTTTACTTTTCAAAGGCACTCATGAGAACATTCTTGTGATCTCTGAGGAAGTGACATCTTTGATGACTCTCAGTGGCATCCAAGGCTCATGAATACTTATAATGTAGACACACCTTGATTCATAGCCTCCTACTTAACTGTTAAAAGAGGTAAAGGATCATCACAGGTCAATAACCAGATATGCAAGGGCTATTGTATATGTTGTATGTCAAGCAGCTGTACATTTCAGAGCATGCTAAAAGGGACTGACCGAAGTTACAGGGGGAAGCATAAATACTAATTTCTTCAGTAAGAGTCTATAATTATGTACGATTTGAATTGTTGGGAAGAATTTTGACTAAGTTAAGGAGCTTTGGATGAAATTTAATTCATAGATGTCATTTTCTTCATACCTTCATTATTATGGTTATATGCCATTGGGATAAACAAATAGGAATCACTGGACATCACTGGAATATCATAGAAAATTTTGCATTTATCTATTTTACTAATTATTGTTATGATAGGAATCCTAATAAATTGACATTCAAATTGTTATATTCTCAAATGCAAATAATATTTTCTCATTATTTTTAACAGGAATGTATGCTAAAGACATGCTCAGTAGTACAAACTTTGACTCATAATCATAATTAAAAGAAAACAGACTTACAAAATGTGAAAACAAATACATAACATCAAAGAAAATTCATGCTTTGACCTCTTACCTTGACCTGCGTTTCAATTTGTGTATTTTCTCCCAACATAAGTTCAGTTCTCCACAAAGCACTCTGCTCAGTTTTGCCGGGCTCAATTTGAATAGTCTTATAATATTCATCGATTAATTCATCACCAGTGGTGTCATCATCAAATACCCGTACAAATAAACCAAACTGACTCTGAAACAAGATAAAAAAAAAGTGGTTAGTTTAGGTTATTTAATTTTAATTTTTAACATCATATTTGGCTTGGAAAAAGTTTCATGTGTAAAAAAAATGGGAAAATTACCGGTAAATTCAGTAATAAGAAAAATGTTACTTTCATTAAAAATCAAAATAGAAGCCCAATTTTAATGAAATAAAACATGTGCATGCATCAATTTAAAAAACAAATTGACCCAAAAAAAATTTTCTGGAATACAGAATGATGTCAGGGTACATGTCGGTTATACAGTGTTCTAGATATGGTTAAGACAAATATGTTTAGATCATATGAATAGAATGGTGAACATGATGTGAATAAGTAATAGTATCAGATTAGTCCATCCTCATGCTGTGCATCCTGGGACCTAACTCTGAAATTAATCATTCTATAGTTTATCCAAATTTTGTAATTCATCAGGGTGGGATCAACAATTTTACTTAACTCAGTTTGTTATTATGTAAAATAAAAAAATAAAATAAAAAATTATAAAATATCATCAGACTTTAGGGAATTTGTATGACACCAATGTGTACAAACACTCCTGTTTACAATTTAGAAACTTCCACATATTTATGATCATCTATTATTAAACATTAAATATTTTGAGAGCTCACAGAAAGCAATATTTTTTTTTTTCTTCGACCAGTTTTTACTGTTAATTCACCAGGATATTTACTTACATACTGGTGTCTCCTCCTGGATTTTATTCAAGATGTATACATTAATGATCTACATTACGTTTTTAAACAAGTAGTAAAATTAGATCAAAAAACACAATTATTTCAATACTAATATAGTTTACGTAATAGAAAAAGAATGCAGACGCTGTTGAAAGGGAAAACAGCAACGGAACACACACCGGATACTGTTAAACAAGATGCCCGTATTTCGTAGTAGTCCGAACTTACCGGCCATTCGTCAGTGAACGGAAAAGCAATAGGGTTCGTAAGTCCATTCCCTAGAAATTGTCCAGAGGTAAAATCTATTGCGTCGCCCCCTAATATTCCTGTGCTTTCATTGCCATATCGACATGTTGAGTTGATGTGATAGGGTGACTGCCGTATGCAGAATTCCATCCAAGTGTCACACTCTGTCTCGTCGTTATCACAATCGTTGCCGTCCATTAAAAGTCCGTGCGGGTTGACGTAGGATACTAGCTGTATTTGTAGCATGCCATTGCCGGATACTAACTGTTCAGAAGAAAAAAATAGTATTTGTCATTACTAAAAACTCCGAAAAATTGTTACGAGTATTTATGTTATAAATTCGCGTTAGAAATGAAAATCAATAAATGTTAATACGAAAATCCAGTTCAGAAAACAAAGTTAGGGCTGCTCTGCCGAACTTATCATGGCACATACAAATAACGGTAGACTGTTCACACATATTTTTCCCAATCAAATCTTAATTAAATATAAATAAAGTAAATAAGTATTTAGCATAATTTACGTACTTGTAAAACTGAAATAAGACAGTGAATGAAAATAAAAAATCGCGTGTTGTCTGAAAGTAAACCCATATTTGTTACGGTAATGTGCGCGAAGGGCACGTCTGATACTCGTGGTAGACCGGCGCTGAATGAACTCAAAGAGTGTCGATCCCACTTTTATCCGTCATGTTTGACCCGGATGGCAATTTCCTTGAAACCCAAACACGTCAAGTCACCACAAACCGCAATACCCACGATGAGACGTGATATGCAACACCAACGCAAAGCTGTCTTGGGTCGTTTCCGGGGTGGTCTGTTGTTTACTCTCCAACTCAGCAAAGATTAATCCACAACAACAGTGCGCTGTATTTTCAGTAACGACAAATATGTCAAATACTACATATTAATCAATGTATTGATAATTGTGTTATCTACGTGGATAAATTAGAATAAATATGACACAAATCGAGTAGTATCTCAACCAAGAAGAACATTTCAGAGAACTGATGATAAAGTTATTGAGTTATTTTTCATTAGGTTAGAGGGTGCTTTACTTGGTTGGACGGGAAGTTTACGTGCTCGCTGTTTCAATATGGTGTTTTATGTGTTGGAGCAGAGGTCGGGCATATCTGGCATATACAACTGACAGGTCACATCACTTATCACACGCTGGGTTTGTGACGTTTGGTGTGACTGTTGTTGGGTTGAACATAACTTCCGTCGAGTATTTCCATCGTGCCAATGAACTTTAATCGCGCCAAATCAACTTGATGGGTACATGCGAGGGTGTGTTTCTATATATTCTTAAATGCAATCTTTGTGGTATTACTTTAATTATATTCCGATTCTGTATTCAGTCCTAAAAAAGTAAATTTGTAAATTCAAACATTAAAGATAATTTACAAATCGAGGTGAAAGACCCGCCAAAACACACCATTGCCTGGGAGTTAGTAAAACCACAACAATTTCCTATGTAAGCTATATGTGATATGATATGGCAAAGCGTTATGTATACAAACAGTTTGGTATAAGAAACCACACAGTGCAGTATTTACGAAACAATATGTACATAATATAAGAAAATCAAGCAACAATATTTGATGTTTTATGTAGAAAATACATAGTTGTACAAATATTAATATTACTTTTTTCTACATGTATTCAAAGTTCAACAAACATGTTATATGATATGCGTTAATAGTGACACATTTTAACATTTTAGTAGTTTACTTTTTTCACTTATAAATATTCTGGTTTTGTTATATTTAGTGTTATAGTTAGCGAGTATTTCAACTAAATTGCCGGTGTATCAATTACTGTTTCAGTGTGTTTTGTTTCAGCTCGGATTCGGTCTTAATCCCATCCAATATGAGATTATACACTGTATATCTCAGATATCATATTATTATTATAATAACCATTACTGTAGTCCCCTCATCAGATGTACCCTTTCTTGGAATAAATTAAACATACTCCTCCAATTTCATATAGAATTAATAACAAGATGAGATTTCTCGGGATGCTAGTGTCGTAATTTATGTAATCATTTCGTCAACTTAAGGATGGGTCACGTGTGTCTTGCTGGTGACTTTTGGTAATGTTTTTTTTTTTACAATGGTATCAAATCTGAGTGTAAACGAATTATATAGTGCGCATGTATGTGATTACTATCTGAGCTATATCTAACAGTCAGGTTATTTAATTAGACAATATCTATCCGGATACAAATGTCAGCAATAGATTGTCACACTCGTGTTCACAACTTGAAGTTGACTCAATCTCAGTGCACGATTTGTTCTACTTTTCTCAAAGCAAACTACTGTCAAACGATTTCCACTCGAATTTTGTGCTAAGAGCAAAATCAAAACCGATTTTATACAGATCTGCCTATTTTCTAGTTTTCAATTAGGACCCTTCAGACTTCAGCATTTTGTTGTTTCATGATAATTGCATTCAAGGATAAATTTGGTCAAAAATGTCGCGTCCGATTTGTTAACATTTCTCAAACTATAATTCAGACAAATTATAATTTTTTAAAAAAGAAGCAAACCAATTAAAAATAAAAACAAAAAGTTTGTTTCCCCTCAAAATACGTCTATAAAATCAAGTTTGATGTGGTGTTACAAACTGGCTTAGTTATGAATGAACTCGTTCAAACACACTCTCAAAACGATTTTGAAGAAAATGAGTATGTTGCAGCACTTGAAAGCTATCGTTGTATGTGGTCAAAGTTGGGTCAGGTTCTGTGTTTTATTCTGTTTTATTGGGACATATTTTAAAAATTGCATATCTTTTTCCTCGTTAAATAGCGAATGGTTTAGTGTATAATCATGATATAGAGACATTGATAAATATAAACAGATGTTGGATACACACTTTACGGCAGCATAAATCAAAGTCAAGGAACATGAAATGAACTATATACAGACATATGTGCTGTGAATAAGACGTCATTTATATCTGATGACCTCCTCATTAGCAACCCGATATTTTTACTCTGTCTACTAATCGTCCCTCTTTCAAGTTGAGGGCGATGGTTTGACTGCAATACCTGCCCCTAGTCTTGTGAATACGCTGTAAACTTGTTTTGAATAACAGAATATGATGATTAACAAAACAATTCGATTATATCATTTAGATTTAGATTTTTGCACTACATAGTCATTTTAGTTTTAATTTAAGTCAGATACTCTGTTTACGGGGTATTACAGACTGGGCCACACAGGATATTCACGTATATAGATCGTTATATAATAATGGCTCCCAAAGAAAGTGAGTCATCAACCAAAGCCATTTATCTACGTTAATAGTATCACTACAATCGATCCGATCACAAAAGGCTGATAATTGCCGTGAGGAATTCTATTCTTAGAAATGCATGGCCACGTTTGTATCGTCACTTCCGAGTCCTTATATGGTGATTCTGGAGGTGTATAATAATAAGATGGCTGATGATTTAAATCAACAATACAATTACTACAGATGAAGATGAGGTCATCATAATAAAAATGGCATTTTAATCACTAAATTTAGTAAAACTTTGATAATATTTTTGGGGTCAATTTATGCCATCGCCATCGACTCGGAAGTGTCCCACGAAAATGAATAAAAACAAAATATTTCTCAAAACATGTCGTAGATGGCGTTGCCGACATTGTATTTTCAATATGGCGACTGTCACTAGTGGGCGGATACACATCGAACAAGAGTTTATGAAAACTGATTTATCAACAAACGTGTTTCACAGCTAAAACGACGTCTAACCATCACCACACAACATGAGCGAAGACGTGGCAACAGTTTTATGTCAGGAGCTATGCATCCAACGAAAATACATAGAGATCACAGACAGTTCGGAAGGTTGCATTCTGGCGGTGGCTTTGGTAAGTGGTCGCCGATACTGATTATATATTTCACAATCGAATGCCTAGCTGGATTGGGTTAAAGGGGAGGGTGTCTATCCGTCAGTTCCTTGGTGGGTAGAGTTACATGTTATTAGAAATGACTACATTTCGAAAACACCAAACGATGATCTCTACGTTTGTTATTTCATTAATCATAACAATAACAGCATGCATTTCCGCCAAATGAAATTGTCATTCATTCAATAATAAATTTGAAACAAAAAATGTCAATGTCTCGTCATATTACACGTAATCACATGCTATCAGTAGAAGAGTGCAGACATACTAACCCCAAAGCTGATATAAATAGAGTATGTAAATAATGTTCACAAAAAAATGAATTTCCCAATATCGGCCATATAGACATCAAACTGTAGAATATGTAATTTCCAACTACAAAAACAGATGATTGTCAGATGTTCAAGTAAATATTAAGTTACTGTGAAGACCGTATCATTAAACATGAGTTGATATTAAAATTTGAAATTACCTGTCTACTTGTAGAATAAATGTGTGATGTATCCGGCAAGACAAATTATCACACTTCATTTGAAATGTAAATTTTATAAAATAAAGTTTATTCACCTGTCCACATTGACAGACATTTTCTACATTTACCTGTCCCAGCTAAAATCCACTTGTCTGGAACATGTGGACAGGCCTTTGACCCCTGTTAAACATTTGGCGATTATGTTCATAACTTGTTTTTGAATTGGAAAACATGAAATAGACATTGTATTTTATTGATTGATGTTGTTATTGCTACAATGTTACTGCTGTCAACTGATAGAAATTATATTTACATAGATGCAATAATCATTATTATTACATTGTACATATGTACTGCAGTTTATTTTAATTCATCCTGAAATCAAAATCGGTATTTCCACACCCTATATGCAAATGAGGTCTGAGAGCAAACAAAGTAGTGCCTTCAGGAGTAGTGTTTTTCAAAACATAGCAGAAATAAACAATATTTAGAAATGCGATATTTTTCCCTTGGGGTACATGAATATACTTGCCGAGTGAAATGAAATTTGAAAAACTGTAATGGTACTTTTAGGTAATCACTTTTTTTTGACTAAAACTAATTTGCATTATTACCCATGCATCCTGCTGTACTTTCACTCACTTCACTCATGAAAGTACGGTCACAGGATAAACCACATCTCTCGTGAAAATAACTTCCATACGCAATGAAAGGCACAGGGAGGGTGTGGGGATCTGTCATATTAATATTTATTATTATTAATGAGTTTAGGATTTTTGATTTCGTTGGCACCAAATATGCCCAAATATTTTGCAGAAAAAAAGGCCATTAATGACAAAAATATGTACAAATGGAGCTAAGGAACCATAACCATTGTAGTATCTGTTGGTGTTCATGCTACTTCTCTGCATATATGCCAGGGATATACATGTGATTGAAGCAAAACAGCCATCAGGTGACTCCAGAATTTTAGTGATTATACACTACGAGTTTTCACATACTGTTTTTTTATATCTTAACATTACAGCAAACATAGTTTGAAGTTTGCTTCCATAACACTTTCATGTCAAGAGGGTCATTGGTTGCTAAACAATGCATGTTGTCAATTTCAGATTGAAGATACTAAGTCTGTGAATCCCAAATTAAATGGTACGGTTATATCTGGCACTCCTGTTGTATTGCCACCTGTAAAACAATATCCAAGGAAGAAGGTTTATATTCAAGTAATCTCAAAGCAATATTGGGATAAACATGGGTAGGTTTTTATTTAATAAATAGAGCAATATTGGGATAAACATGGGTAGGTTTTTATTCAATAAATAGAGCAATATTGGAATAACCATGGGTAGGTGTTTATTCAATAAATATGGCAATATTGGAATAACCATGGGTAGGTGCTTATTCAATGAATGGGGCAATATTGGAATAACCATGGGTAGGTGTTTATTCAATAAATAGAGCAATATTGGAATAACCATAGGTAGGTACTTATTCAATAAATAGGGCAATATTGGAATAACCATGGCTAAGTGCTTACTCAATAAATATGGCAATATTGGAATAACCATGGGTAGGTGTTTATTCAATAAATAGGGCAATATTGGAATAACCATGGGTAGGTGTTTATTCAATAAATAGGGCAATATTGGAATAACCATGGGTAGGTGTTTATTCAATAAATAGGGCAATATTGGAATAACCATGGGTAGGTGTTTATTCAATAAATAGGGCAATATTGGAATAACTATGGGGTGATGTTAATTCAATATACAGAGGGAAATACTGTAATAACCATGGTTAAGTGTTTATCAAAATAATCATGGGTGGGTATTTAGTTTGTTTATTTAGCATTCTGTACTCTATGAGCGTACTCTACATTAACCATCAAATTCACGAGTGTGTTCATGTTTTTCTCTGATTTCAATGATAATCATGAACCAAATAAATATAAAGCTAGAAGTACTTCAAGAGCTATAATTGTTATAATGTTATGACAACATCTTTATCATATTACCAGTAATATAGCCTCCAGTTATTTTGTGACAAAAAAAAAAATTATAAAAATTTATTCCTAACTTTTTTAGTTACCGTTATCTTTTTATCGTTTTAGTAATTATTGAAAAACTTCCTGTTTCCATGGCAATGAGATCAAAATCTCTTCTAAACTCAAATTGATTATTAATTGGCTGAATCAATACATTCATCAAAATGTCATGAAAATACATTCTTAACTTTTGAGTTATTAAACTAAAAATTATTCCCAAAATTTCTGTTTCCATGGGAACCAGATACAGATTTTTTCCAAAATGTATTAAATATCTTGTTCTTTGTATCAAGGGCAACCCTTATGAATAAGAATCCTTTCTGTGATTGCCATTTTCATGACAGCCAGCCAAATCTTCCATAACAATTTGATTATAAAAACAATCATTTTCTTTCAAATATAACTCTCACAAATTTCCAGTCATGCCGTTTTTTTGTTATCATTCTTCGGTTATACGTAATCCCAAATTGGAAAGATGTGACTATGAATATTTTTATGTGTCAACCAACGAAAAATGAGACAAAGCAGTAAAAACACATGCACTATCAATACACAGGGGTCAACTGACTTATGATCTGGGAATGAAGAATCCTTTCTAGGATTAATGTTTCCATGACAACCAGATCTGAATCCTTTTCTGAAAATGCCCCATTTGAATTCATCCTGAACTGTTTGGGTTACCATGCTAAATGACAGATAGACAAACAAACCAATGCTGGGAAAAACTAAACTTTTTTGCCAGAGGTAATTATAAATTTTGATGAAATATATAAAAAGAAACATAGACTAAAGTAACACTGATATGCAAAATGACAACAGTGAATTGTCATGTTAAACATGCATTCCATTTCTCAATAGAAAGAATTGACAATACAGATTCGTCTAAATTATGAATGTTAAGTAATTCAACCTACAGTACTGTTTGTCAGAAGTAAACATATTGATATTATTTGTTGTAGAATTGATGAGTGGTCGAGTGAAAAGTTACAATCATCCATAAATGAAGTAGAATCAGGTTTTCTGTCTACAATGGTTTCCGTAGCTCAACAAAACTACAATAGAATGTGGACTGAAACACAGAGAAAATATCTTCATTTGAGTCGGAAATATGAGGGAGATCATCAAAAGGTAATTGTGTGGACCATGTGGCAGAAGGTATGCCCTTTCCAGCTGTGAGACGTAAAGCATAAATTATTGTGACCTTTGAATTTAATCTATTTTTATGTTGGATTTTGTACATTTTCTTTATTTTTGTGTTTGAATCACAGAACTCAGTGGGTGATTTGAAGTGTATTGTTGAGAAGATATACGGTTGTAAAGTCATTCCCCTGAGGTTGTTGGACACCACTCATGCAATGAAAAACACCCATCCTAATATACTGAATGTATTAACTATCATGGAATCGCAACGCTACTTTTACATCGTACATCCATATTCTGAATATTCTGTGCACGATTTGGTGACTTTTAGTCCCTCTATAATTTCCAAATCACATGCAAAACCGTTGTTTATCATTTATCAAATAATACATATAATGCTACACTGTCATCGTCAAGGAGTGGCGTTGGGAGACGTCAGATTAAAGGACTTCATGATGAATGAGAAATTGTGGGTGCAGTTGACAGGGCCAAGGTGGAGACAGGTTCAGAATAGTGTTGGAGTTGCATCAAATAAAAATGTTAATACAGGAAATGATCATAATGACTTACCGGGACTGGTGCAGCAATGGGTACAAGGAAAGATCACCAGTTACAAATATTTAATGGTATTAAATTCGCTATCAGGAAGACGAACTGGAAATCCAAACTATCATCCCATACTGCCATGGGTCACAGACTTTGTTTCGCAGAGCGGGAATTATCGCGATTTGACAAAAACAAAGTTTCGACTCAATAAGGGGGAGCACCAATTAAACTTTATGTACAGTGCCAGTTCACAAAGTGTGCCACATCACTTTTCTGATTTACTGTCTGATATCACCTACCATGTGTATTTCGCTCGAAAGACTGAGAAATCTACTCTATGTAAATATGTACGGTCGTCTTGGGTTCCCAATGAATATCCATCCAGCATACAAAGAATTCAGGAATGGTCCCCGGAGGAATGTATTCCTGAGTTCTATAATGATCCCAGTATATTCAAATCTATTCATAATGACATGTCAGACCTTCAGGTTCCACCGTGGTGTGGGTCCGTGGATGAATTCTTGGTGAAACATCAAGAGTTGTTGGAAAGCAATCATGTATCAAGTCAATTACATCATTGGATCGATTTAACATTTGGATACAAGGTATGAATCTGGCATCTTGAATTGGTGTTATTTTGCAATCGCATATATACTATAGTGTAATTCACAAATGACGTCATGCACTAAGAAAAATTGTTTGATTCAAACAAACAAATGAGTGAACATAAAGAAAAAATAGTTGTTGCAGCATTATAATTTTGCAAGTGCTTTCTTTAAACTCTACGTACGTACGTACTCTACGTATAAATGGTGTTTTGTTGTAGTAACAGCTCAACTGCTACTACATCCCCTACTGTGGTAACGTGATGTGTTGTTTTCTATTTCCATTATATCACAGTTGAGTGGCAGCGCTGCAGTGAATGCCAAGAACGTTTGTTTACAATTGGTGGACCAACATATGTATCCACTGAATCATGGCGTTGTACAGTTATTTGACAAGCCACACCCACAGAGACTATCCTCGTCTGAATACGCTGGGTCTCTCAAAGCTCCTGCCATTATGAGACCTATACGCAATCAAACATTAAATCTGAAATCTTACGCGAATCAGAAACAAGTGGTTCCAGTGAGTGTACCAGTACTCGTATAACATTTAAAATGATGTCACTAAAAATTATGTCATGTGATTAATTACGTACTGTAAATGCATTAATTATTCACTGGGATTTAATTTCACTATTTTCACTGATACGTAAAGACCGAAAATCTACATGAACATGTAATATAACAATAAAATTCATTGTTTCCTTGACAAATTTGTGAAATTACAACACAGTGAATATGCCCAAAGCATCAAAATGGTGAAATTAAATGTCAGTGAAAATAACAAGTTTTACTGTGTGAAGATGTTTGATTCAGACTGACAACTAAACAACTAAAAGATCTGATACATGATTGTCAGCTCCATTTGTTGTAATACCTCGTAATCATGACAAAATCGATTGCACTTTACTGACGTAATCAGTATCAGACATATGTCATTGATAGCGTGTGGGTCAGCGTATATCTCACACTATGTCCGATTTCTGGTTATAGGGGACAGAAGAAACAGAAATTCTTGATACAGATACTGTTGTACCAACATGGCATGATGATCTGGATACCACACCCACACAGGTTAGTTTCATTGATCTGGATACCATATCTATACCAGTTACCAATAGTTTTAATAAACAAAGATACCATATCCATACCAGTTACCGGTAGTTTTAATAAACTGGATACCACACCTATACCAGTTACCGGTAGTTTTAATAAACAAGACACCATATCCATACCAGTTACCAGTAGTTTTAATAAACAAGATACCATATCCATACCAGTTACCGATAGTTTTAATAAACTGGATACCACATCTATACCAGTTACTGGTAGTTTTAATAAACAAGATACCATATCCATACCAGTTACCGGTAGTTTTAATAAACAAGATACCATATCCATACCAGTTACCGATAGTTTTAATAAACTGGATACCACATCTATACCAGTTACTGGTAGTTTTAATAAACAAGATACCATATCCATACCAGTTACCGGTAGTTTTAATAAACAAGATACCACATCCATACCAGTTACCGGTAGTTTTAATAAACAAGATACCATATCCATACCAATTACGGATAGTTTTAATAAACTGGATACCACATCTATACCAGTTACTGGTAGTTTTAATAAACAAGATACCATATCCATACCAGTTACCGGTAGTTTTAATAAACAAGATACCACATCCATACCAGTTACCGGTAGTTTTAATAAACAAGATACCATACCCATACCAGTTACCGGTAGTTTTAATAAACAAGATACCATATCCATACCAGTTACGGATAGTTTTAATAAACTGGATACCACATCTATACCAGTTACCGGTAGTTTTAATAAACAAGATACCATATCCATACCAGTTACGGATAGTTTTAATAAACTGGATACCACATCTATACCAGTTACGGATAGTTTTAATAAACAAGATACCATATCCATACCAGTTACCGATAGTTTTAATAAACAAGATACCATATCCATATCAGTACGGATAGTTTTAATAAACAAAATACCACATCTATACCAGTTACCGGTAGTTTTAATAAACAAAATACCATATCTATACCAGTTATCCATAGAAATTGTTGAACTAAAATCAGAACTAAAGTGATCTGGATACCTTGCCATGCAATTTACAGACTAATTCAAATAAAATAATTACATCATGCAAAGTATGCAAATTATTTTGAAGAAATAATTGTATTTTGCTGTAGTTTGATAGTGAACAAGAAACCATTGCGACAAGTAAGGACATGGAGGGCTTGGCAGATTTGAGTAGCTCGTTGGAATCCGATTCGTTTTCACAGAGGAACCCTATTAAGAGATTGTCCTTTTTCAGGTAATTATATATCAATTCACTGAAATATTATTTTCCTAAATGTAAGTTTGTTTAAGTATGGTCAGACATGTAAGATGTTAGCACACAAAATTACCACCTTCCGTAACATGTTTGAATACATCATGGTAAATGATGGTCGGCCATTTAAATTAAACTTCCTATGTTGCATAGGGATTTTGGAGCCATGGTTCAACATTGGCATATGAGAGAAAGCGATATTTTGATTTCAAACTGAACTATACTTGGTAGATTTCAAACTGAAATATGCTTGATTGATTTCAAGCTAAACTATAATTGTTTGATTTCAGACCAAACTACTTTCGGTAGATTTCAAACTAAACTATTCTTGATTGATTTCAAACCAAACTTTACTTGGTATAGATTTCAAAATCAACGTACACTCAACTTTATGTATTCAAATTATACTTGGCAGATTTTTAACCGAATTATTCTTGATCAATTTTAAACCAAACTTCACTTAGTTGGTTGGTTTCAAACCAAATCATACTTGGCTTATTTTAAACCGAACTTATACTTGGTTAATTTCGAAACACCTATTCACCTCAACAAGTTAGCAAGTATGAGTGTTATTAAAGTATGACTAGAATAGATGCAATAGACACCCATTCCAATTATGTCAGTATACATACAAGTGGTGTGCTTGCTTGTAAAACATGTATCGTATTCCTTATCTTATTAGTAGCCGAGGTCGTGGTGACACTGTTGTTGACTCTTCTCCGCTCCGACCTGAACAACAGACCATAACATTGCCTGAAGGGTATGATCCGTTACAGCAACTAAATCAACTAGAAATGTTGTATAATTTTTGTTCTACTAACATGAAGATGTTACCTAAGCAACCAGACAAAGAGGTATGATGCTTAGCTAGTTGTGTTATTGAACTATTTAATAAACTGGCAGAAAGCTGTAAAATAAAATGTGTCTGTAGTGGTAAGAACTGGAAACTGATACTGGTCAGTACAGTACATACAACCAAGGACGGAATAGCGTGTGCATTTCATTCATGCTGTGAGTCTGGTGATGCGTATCCGTAATACACTAGTATATGTCTCGTCTCGGTGACATGTTTCATTGTAATTACTGTGCATACCATCAACCACAATTGACGCTGAAACAACAAGCATTGCATATTAGCATGCTTGATATGACAAATGACGAACATTTCAATCCACAGTCGGCAAGTACAAGAAACAGTCTATTCTATCTTCCACTGCATACACATACTGCTATCCAAATCTATGCCCTCTAGCGGCAATATTAAGAAATGCTAAAAGGAAATGTAAAATTATCTCCCACTTGACAGATTGATTTGTGCACAAACTTTTGAGGTTTCTTATCTTCTGGCTTTGTTTAGTATGTTGCTGTTGACCAGTCTGCTGAGTTGATTGCCAGAGATATGCAGACATTAGGCTGTTTGATCGTTGAATTTGTACAAGCCAATAAACTAAGAATGCTGAATCCGCAAGCAGGTTTACAAGAACGATACAACATTATTCGCAAAGAATGTCAATCAAGTATTCAGAATTTACCAAGGTATTTATGTGTGAAAATAATTGTCTATTTTATAGTAACATTAAACATTGATGGAATGATAGATTCAAGTTACTATTATTGTTACAGCATAAATCTAATCTACTATGGCATTTTTGTGGAAAATTCATTATTAAATCTATTAAAATGTCCTTCTATAAGTTAGATATCATCATTTTTCACTCACAGACCAGTGCAATATAGTATTGAAGTACTACTACAACTTAATAATACTGCCAACAATGACAGCTTGCCACCGCCTTCTCCATCACAGTTACTCAATCCTTACACCAGTATCTTCCCGTTTCCCAAATATTTCGCGATGCTCTACGAATTCCTCTCAAAAATGCATCAACCGATGGAAGACCCATTGCTGAAAGTACACCTGGCATTGCAGTACATACCCAAACTGTTTGTCAAGATGAACCAGGAGGGTAAAGAATTGCTGCTTCCGTACATCACCGCTCTGTTTAGAGATAAAGACATTGCTCTACTTACAGTGCTGCATTTGTTTAATAAAGTGTCACGTTGTTTAGGTCCATCTATGACAGTTGAGCATCTCTTACCAGTGATTAAAGACTTATACAATATCGATAACTATTCATCCCCTATACACTTACGACTGTATCACCGCAGTTTTCTATCTCAGTTACTTGCTAGAATGGGACTCAGGGTATTTCTTAACCACATCCTGGATTTTCTTGTTGAGGCTGTGGCAGGACGGAAAGTGTGCCCAACATTTGTTGAAGCTGAGAAAACACATGAGATGACAGCGATTCACCGTAGCATTTCCGTAGGAGAGGATGCATTGAAAAATCTGGAGAATGAGGCCTTAAAAGATGATGATGGTGAAATTGATGACAGTGATGGTGATGATAATAATGATGATGATAATGATGATAATGATAATGATGATAATGATAATGATGAAGATGTGTACACTGATAAGAGACAAAGTGATAGCTGTAGTCTGGATCAAAGTTTCGGTAAGGAAGATGAAGAAGCCAAAGAAGATGGAACCAGTTGTGTAGACAGAATGTTTTCATTTCGTGATGCTAATGAAAGGAGAGGCTCTGATGATGTGATGGGGCAGAACAGTTGTGATGTGGACAAAATAAGTTTAGACAAATCTAGCCTTCATAGTATCGGAACTGATTCAAGTGAAATCAAGTCACAAGAAGTTGGTTACCATAGCAACAGTAGTGACGACATCAATGATGAAGATGGTAAAGAAGACCTCGTCGCTAATGATGGTAATGAAGAAGTAAAGCCTAAAATTGATGAAAAGATAGAATCATCAACGGCAACTCCTGACAACAAAATGAATATTTCAGCACTTGAGAAGCACAGCATCAGTCTCGTCAGTGGGCTGGGAATAGTGGAAGTTGCTATGGATAGCATATGGTGGATATCTCAAAAACTTGGACCAATATTAACTGCAAAATATTTATCCAGACAACTACTACGAGTACTTACTCTATGTTATATGGGTCCAGGACAACTTATAGCCATCAAAGGTATGACAAACAGATATTTTCATGTCATGTTTTTCAGTGCTGTTCAATATTATGCCTTGTAAATCTTGAACTGATAGAAGGAGGAATTATGTTCTAGTCTGATTTATTCATATTAATTTGCATAACTAAATCATTCTTGTTTAAGACAATTTCAAATGTTATTAATGTGTATAGTTACTATGGCAACAGTGTAGCAACTTGATAACACATTGCCTGTCTCTACAAACATACCAAAATTAATTTAAACAAAAATTCAGGAGGCATATCACGACGTACCGGTAAATTGGAATAATGCCAAACTCTTACCCAGTTAATTTGCATAATTGGTCACATGTTTTTACTCTCCTAGACAATGGTAAGGCAAAAGATGGTGAAATATACAATTGTATTGCTGTGTATGGAGACACAACTACCTTGCCTGTCTTACAATGCCTTGCTGATATTGCAATTAACTATGGCCAGTCATTTATATTAAACCAATATATTTCATTCATTAAACAAATTGTGAGTATTTTTGTTACCCCTCAGTATTTCGTTCTATGTGTATCATACTAAATAAACTATATTTTTAATGTTGTATTTTTGTACAGAATTTGTTTTCCAATTAATGAGTATTTCCCCGGAATGGATACTGTTAAGTGAGCATACAATTGTCATAATTATAGTATTGTAGGACATGTGCCATGCCATGAATACATCAAGATAGAATGCAGATTTCTTGGTCAATACAATGAAATTATGACCCGATATAACTGATTTACACTTGGTTTACTAGGTTCTATCTGCGAAATCTAAGGTCAATACTAAAGTGGAAGCTGGACTCATAGCCTCAATGGTGTTATTGAAATATATGCTGGTTTATTTATCAGACTCTATATTAATGAATTGTCTTAAGGTGAGTTGACAGTATAATGATATGATTGGCAATTGTATATGTATCCCTGGGTCTTATGACTTTGGTTTAATTTCTCCATCTCTACCATGATTTGGTAAAAAAGAATTTGTTTTGTTCATAATCATTGAAAACAATATAAATTACATTGCATGTTGGTTGTTTGTAAAAACACATTTTTCAATGAAAACACATTTTTCAATGAAAACACATTTTTCAATGAAAACACATTTTTCAATGAAAACACATTTTTCAATGAAAACACATTTTTCAATGAAAACACATTTTTCAATGAAAACACATTTTTGCAACATTTAAGTTCACACAAATTGCTTGTTGCAAAATTATAATTTCCACATACCACATTTTTATTTATTGAACACTTCAGTTTCATCCCTTTTTTTTTTCTCCCACAGAGTTTTTCTCAGAATATACTGCAACCTGTAATATGTATACTGTCGTCGCTCTGTATAAGTTTTCCTGGTGGCGGTCATGCAAGGTCGATATTATGTTACAAACTAGTCGATGTGATAACTGTGATAGCTGTACGCATAGGACGAGAGATGGCTCGAGAAAACATGACCGCATTACTCCAGCAATTTTTCTGTTGTTTTGATATTGTACACTGCCTCGATAAAGATCAAACGGGAAGTCCGTCAGTCCGAGAAGATAAGGCCCTGTTCAGAGGTAAATATATGGTGACTACCGTAGTAAGTAAACTATTTTAATGATAAATAAATTTAGGAGACATGAGTGATGCATTGTTTGAAACATAATTCTTTATAAACTTGGTATTTTATTTGATAGCGGAGTCAGAAAAACAGTCAAGTGTCGTGAGTAGCGTTGAGAGCAATGACAGCATGTATTGCGAAATACACATGGATAATACAACAAATACATATACCATTGGTATTCCAGTCAGACTAAAAGATATGAAAGGAGACGATGATCAGTTTGCAAGTACACCCAGAGGTTAGTTTCTGTTTACTGCTTTATACAAACTTGTACAATCACTGATAATAAAAAATGTCCAGAGATTCAAAAGATGCATGTCAATCAACTGTAGGAAACATACTGTTTTGTTAATGAGTAAAACATCTCTATCAATAGAATCATAGTTATCAATACTAATGTTATCATCATCTTTAATATCACACTGCTCACTGCAATCACATCACATTTACATTACAAGTCAATTTTTCCCATTCCATTAAACAATGAGATTTCATACAATATCATGGATTTATATAATGAGGGTATGCAAGTAATGTGATATGTGATGAAGTTTGCATGAAAATTGGAAAGGAGTAGCATGAATTGTGAGTTGATCATATGACAGATATGCATTTCCAGTTATACTAACACACATGGGTCTGTGTTGCTAGACAAGTGTACTAAGTTATTCGCAAAGCATTTTGTGTTTTTGAATACTATGATAATCTCGCCATTTCTGATTACACAATGGAATCTTTTCAAACTTATGCCACATTCTGTGAAGCTATATTGGTTAGAAATGCATTCTTTATTGACAAGCACATGAAATGCAATCTTCATTGAATATCATCAGTCATATGTCATGCTGTCACATACACACATGTGTAATCTGACACATGGCTATTACTCCAGTCTGAACCTGACTACGGCTGTCATCCGACACATGGCTATTGCTCCAGTCTAAATCTGACTACGACTGCCATCCGACGCATGGCTATTACTCCAGTCTGAACCTGACTACGGCTGTCATCCGACACATGGCTATTACTCCAGTCTGAACCTGACTACGGCTGTCATCCGACACATGGCTATTACTCCAGTCTGAACCTGACTACTGCTGTCATCCGACACATGGCTATTACTCCAGTCTGAACCTGACTAGTGCTGTCATCCGACACATGGCTATTACTCCAGCTATTGGGCTGAGCTTGTTGCACATTTTAAATATCACCAACCATTTTCCAGTGCATCTGAATGTTGGCAATCATTTTGACTTTCCATTTAATATATTCATACTATGCACTGATTCACCCAATTTGATTAAAATCTGATGTTGATGTAGTCTCTGGTTGCTTCAAATCTGAAATCATAGTTTTATGTACACGCCTCTAACTACATCTGACCAACTACATGGTATGCAAATTTCATTTTGCAGCTCTTCTCTGGCAAGATTTGTCAACCAATTAGAAAGCACTTCACTATTAAAAACAGTTTATGCTGTTCTAGTATTGATTACATTGGTTTGTTACCTAACATTTGATTGGCTGCTGATCCAGCAAAACTAGAATGTGATTCACATAGGTAGGTGGTCAGATGTAAATGGAGGCATTATACATATACAAGTGATTGTATATTCAAAATGATCATTGTCTCTACCTGTATATCAAATTTTAATCTGATTGGGATTTGCCTCTCTCCCAAATAGGAGATGAATCTGGATAAATACACAAATATTTCCCTCAATTGCTCATATTTGCATAATTATTTTTCTCATTCTATAGGAATGATCTCAGAGTGGAATTCTTCAATTTTGTCTCTTCTAAATCTCTAGTCTTGAGTTCACTTGATAATTGTTCAGTTCTTTCTGCCAATTGTAGGAGATTTCTTTGAAGGCATGGAATCAGGAATTGCCAGTGAGTCAGTCCGTGATGAATTGCAGCATGTGTTTACAGAACAAATGGCTTATTCAATATACATACCACTGTGTAGATTGGTTGGCAGGTGAGTAGACCACACTTAGTTGGTGACCATTATAAGAAGTAGAAATGGAAAAATACAACTGCAGTACTATAATAATTGTTTTCAATTAGAGCATTTTGTTACCTCTTGCTTAGGACAAAAAGCAGATAAAAGGAGGGCGTACTTGTGTTAGTCTCTATAGTGACAAAGATTTTGCAATTTTCACATGGCAACCATTTTGAATTGAAAAATATGGAGAATGTACAATTAATATTAAAACTGGTGATTAAAAACCCATCAGGGAACCCAATATTTTAGTATAGGTCATTATGTATATTCTTGTGCATTAATTCAACTGTACCCCAATACACGATTAGGTCAATTGGTTAACTTGTCCTTGTTTGCTCTGTTATACATTTATATATTTGTCCAATATTAGCCAAGCTTGCCAAGGAAAGATGTGTTCCTTAAAGTGCCGATGAAGTGCCCACAACACGTTTCTCATTTTCGATCTGTGTTCCTCTGAAATGTACATTTATTAAATTTTGTTTTTAAAAATTATAAATCATATTCAAGTAAATTTGAGACATTTTTTGTGTTGTAGCCATGCCCCCTGTCCTTGCGCAGTCAACTGATTTTCTGACTCTCTCTGAAAAAGTGCCCCACCAAACGCCTAAATATGAGATATACTTGTACAATACTTCGTCATTTAATAATATATATATTTTGGAAAAGGGTTTTAGTAAAGGTTGTTTTCACAACAAATATATTTTAAAATGATTGAATGGGATGGGCCTCTCCTAACACGACCATATACAGTGCCAATTATACTGCAAATTCTTTTATTTACGAAAGTTCTGTAAGCTCAGTATCCACACATTTTAAAGAACAAGACTCCGGACCTGCACATCGTTGCGGTGGATTTCCCTAGTGACGAGATCACCTGAGCGATGGTCAAATGAGAATTCACGCAGCACTTCCATGCCACCAACTGTTTTTAATTTTGCTGTCTGCACATTTCTGAATTATTTGATAATTAGATGACCCTCATTTTTTTGGTCTATATGTATAATAATTCGTAGACTAAGAATCCGGACTCCATAAAGAGCTGAAGTAACTAGATGTTTTTCGACTAAGTAATTTTAATGCAATGTCGCAGCTATGACAATCATGTTTAGTTAATCATACAGGTGTTTGGTAATATAGAAATGTGAAGTTTAATTATATGTTGTTCTCATTTATTTTAATGAATCAAACGTTGTTCTTGTGAATACAGTATATTAGGTCATTTATTATTTCTTCATGTCACTGATCATTGTAATTCAATGCTTTTAATTTTAAAACATTTTATTTTGAATCATTTTTGAATGTGGATGGGGTCCAGCGCAACTTTCCCGTAAGGCTGTTGACCTTAGTGTCCAGCTATGCTAGAATTGACAGATATGGCATCTGACTCAACCCTATACTGACAATCTTGATAATATGTGTTCATTATAGTACAATCTTCTTTGATGAATAAGTACATGTGGGTCAATTTAGTCAAACCATAAACCATTATAATAATCAATCACTAATAATTGATTTTGGACAAGCAAATAGCAAGCATTTTATTAGCACTTTAACAAAGTACATATAAGACCACATCCTCTATTGAACATCTTGCATTAAATAATTATGACATCTTGGTGTTTTAAATTTGTTAGTTCCCGGACTACCTTGCATTGTATTGTATTGTGATGGTCAGGTCATGAGATGAAATAATATTAATGATAGCCAACTGTGCCATGCTGATAAAAAAATACCTGATTCCATGTTTAATATGTATAAAGTAATTATTATCATTAATAAGAGTGATTTATTTATACTCATTTCAGTATACATATGGAGCACATTTTGTACAATCACGATCTTATATGGAAATTATCGAGTTCTTATGAAGTTTCCATGGCAGCACAAATCAGTCAAAATCAAGACAACTTGACAGACAGTCAAAGAACCTTAGAAGCAGAGCAGGGTGATTCAGATGGTATGTTGTACAGTAACAAAGTACTGATTTATGACTTCTTCAATACACACTATGGTGTCTATGTTTTGTTCAAAACAGAAATGTATCCTCATTTTTTCCAGGATACATAAGTATGTATCTGGTGTCCCCTTCTGAAAATTGATACTTAGCCTTGATAACTCATGCAAATATGCTGCATTTTTTGCTATATTTATAATTATAGTAGTGTTATCAGACATATTGAAAATTGACAAAATGGAATTATAGAAACTTATCCCAATATAGGTACCATTTTATAATGGAAAAAGTTTTACAAAACACCAGCATAGCACCCCTTAACTTTCAGTGTAATATCATAATGGCCTACCTAACTTTTTATATCTTTTTTTTTATATATAGCAGTAGTTAAAGCGTTGTTTTAATGAATGTTTTATGAAGCCAGCCTCTCTTGTCACTATCATGTTTCAAACATTGCATTACCTCATCATGACTATATATGGGCAAGGTCATCTTCCAGACGAAGGTCGCCCATTATCTAGTTTATTGAAAATAAAAGTGCTATCATGGAAATGATAGATATAAGTTAACTTTATCGCTATGTCTGCCCTCAATTTACATGAACTTTGACCTTACTGGAAAAATGATCCTTTGAATGGCTATAAAATAGGTCTGTAATTAGAGTGCTAGTGCTGTGACATTAAGAAGAATGGTTTATATTACATCTTTACAATCTTACTTTTCAATTATTGCAGTTTATTATTTAATAAATCATACTATTGTCTCACATGAAATGCTCCTATTTCTTATTGAATCAATAATTATATTTCCTTTGATGACATTTTTTTGTGCTGGGGAATTGATCATCAAAAACATTGTATTTTGTATCATATGGACATCTGAGATGATGGAGAAAGTTGTTCATACATGTAGGTGATATCCCTCAACAATTAGATTTGATTTTTTCGGGATACCTCAATTGACTTAATAATTAATATTAACCACATCATTTGCATAATAATTAACACATTTTCAGCTGTACATTCCTCTTATACCGGTATATCAAGAACCACCCAACATATTTCAGAAATATGAGACTTAGTTCATTGTGCTCTTGAGCAATCCATATACATGATTAGTTTAGGGTTTAAATCTGTGCATATTAATTACCTGATTTACATAAATTAGCCAATGTTTTGCTTTTCCACATATTTCAATGAGACTTAGTGTAGGTGCTCTGAGGTACCGGTAGTCCACGGATTTGATTAGTTTGTGATTAGTTTGTGCATCTTAAATATTCAATTTCCATAATAATTAGTCAATTTTAGGCTTCTGCACTGATGTTTCACAAACAAACACAAACCACAGATGTACAATTCAATTTATTTTTCTTATTATAATATTTATATATATCATTAGTATTAGTTAGTATTTTGTGGATGAGATTGCTTTTTGATTGTGCATCAAAAAGAGCAGAGCTATATTAGCTAAGAGGTTTCTTGTTTAATAGTCTATACTTACACTTCTAATTAATTTTAACTATTTCCTTTTTTTATATCATGCCTTGAACACCCTTGGAACACCGAAGTTCTACAATTTTGGTTTCTATGACTCGGGTTTAGCCTACTAGAGTGATACAGCATCTGTGATTGGATATTTCAGGTAGTTAGCCTACTAGAGTGGTACAACACCTGTGATTGAATGTGTTTCAGTTAATTAGCCTACTAGAGTGGTACAACATCTGTGATTGGATATTTCAGGTAGTTAGCCTACTAGAGTGGTACAACACCTGTAATTGGATGTGTTTCAGTTAATTAGCCTACTAGAGTGGTACAACATCTGTGATTGGATATTTCAGGTAGTTAGCCTACTAGAGTGGTACAACACCTGTGATTGGATGTGTTTCAGTTAATTAGCCTACTAGAGTGGTACAACATCTGTGATTGGATGTTTCAGGTAGTTAGCCTACTAGAGTGGTACAACACCTGTGATTGGATGTGTTTCAGGTAGTTAGCCTACTAAAGTGGTACAACACCTGTGATTGGATATGTTTCAGGTAGTTAGCCTACTAAAGTGGTACAACATCTGTGATTGGATGTGTTTCAGGTAGTTAGCCTACTAAAGTGGTACAACACCTGTGATTGGATGTGTTTCAGGTAGTTAGCCTACTAGAGTGGTACAACACCTGTGATTGGATGTGTTTCAGTTAATTAGCCTACTAGAGTGGTACAACACCTGTGATTGGATGTGTTTCAGGTAGTTAGCCTACTAGAGTGGTACAACACCTGTGATTGGATATGTTCCAGGTAGTTAGCCTACTAGGGTGGTACAACACCTGTGATTGGATGTGTTTTAGGTTGTTAGCCTACTAGAGTGGTACAACACCTGTGATTGGATATGTTCCAGGTAGTTAGCCTACTAGGGTGGTACAACACCTGTGATTGGATGTGTTTTAGATTGTTAGCCTACTAGAGTGGTACAACACCTGTGATTGGATATGTTCCAGGTTGTTAGCCTACTAGGGTGGTACAACACCTGTGATTGGATGTGTTTTAGGTTGTTAGCCTACTAGAGTGGTACAACACCTGTGATTGGATGTGTGTCAGGTACATGTAGTGAGCCAACTAGAGCGGTACAACCCCTGTGATTGGATATGTTCCAGGTAGTTAGCCTACTAGGGTGGTACAACACCTGTGATTAGATGTGTTTTAGGTTGTTAGCCTACTAAAGTGATACAATACCTGTGATTGGATATTTCAGGTAGTTAGCCTACTAGAGTGGTACAACACCTGTGATTGGATGGGTTTCAGGTAGCTGGCATACTAAAGTGGTACAACACCTGTGATTGGATGGGTTTCAGGTAGTTAGCCTACTAAAGTGGTACAACACCTGTGATTGGATATTTTTCAGTTAATTAGCCTAATAGAGTGGTACAACACCTGTGACCTGATGTGTTTCAGATAGTGAGCCTACTAGAGCGGTACAACCCCTGTGATTGGATGTGTTTCAGGTACATGTAGTGAGCCAACTAGAGCGGTACAACCCCTGTGATTGGATATGTTTCAGGTAGTTAGCCTACTAGAGTGGTACAACACTTGTGATTGGATGTGTTTCAGGTAGTTAGCCTACTAGAGTGGTACAACCCCTGTGATTGGATGTGTTTCAGGTAGTTAGCTTACCAGAATGGTACAACACCTGTGATTGGATATGTTTCCGGTAGTTAGCCAACTAGAATGACTGCCTGGGATTGGATGTAGAATGATGACATTATATGAGAAAACAAACATGCACATTCAGTAATCACTGGGGATGCATATGCATGGACGTGATCAACCTTATTTTTTCAGAGAAGGTTGTCAACTTGTATTTGATTTTTTCAGGTGCAACAAGGCAGACATCTTGGTTTATTGATATTGAGAAGTCAGGTAGACGTTCGACACTTCATTTAGATGTACTTTATATTCTTTTTCTGTTTGCATGGTTTTTATCATTAAATCTTTTTGTGTTTTTCCTTTTCTTAGTACTCAATACTGTACTACATTGTGTATTTGTGGTTGTCACAAACAAAAATCTTCACAGGCAGAATATTTTGGTCAAAAAATATCATGATTGTTCGATTGTTCCATTGTTGCTTCAGAACCAGTGTTATTTAAAAAGACACTGGCACATTTGCTATGGGTTCCATACCATGTTATATTTGATATGGCTTCCGTAATTTACATAACAACATATACACACATGGATGTTGTTGTCTAAGTGTGTTCATGATGACCATATTAATTACTCATATTATTTTTAGAGCGTTGATTGTTTAAGCATGCATTTTTAGAGCAGAAATATTTATGCACTTTTTTTCAGTATATTCATAAATCACATGTTTTGTTTAAGCTGACCAATCACAGTGAAGCACTCAGTCATGTGATATACATTGAGAGATAAGAATGTTTTGATTCTCATTATTGCTACTGCTGTCTTTTTTTGCCGGGGCTAAACTTCACAGAACAACTGAGACAGGATTTATTTGATCATGACAGCATGCTTACCCTTGATTGGGAAAGTTTAAACGATTCAGGACTTAGCGCAGACACATGAACATTAGTACAAAGGAGAATCTTTAATAAACAATGATCAACAATAAAACAGTATATTTTCTATATTGTTTTAAGGAGAGTCCTCTGAAGACATTGTCAGCGGTCAGTTTGGTAGTAATGTGGCAATGGTTGGTAATAGAATACAAATATCATCATTACAACATGAACAGTATACTAAGCATCAGGTTGCTGCAACTCCCATGGAAGACAGCATCAAAACTAAATGGTCAGATATATTTTAGATTTTACAAAGGAGTGATATTGTTAAAGATGAGATGGGTTTATTAATGTTTTGAGACATTATGAGACATGGAAAATAATTTGAATAATACATATCGTAGTCATTTCAATGGTTTCAGCATATCTCAATGTTGTCAGTCGTCTCTTTTTATTTGATCATACGTCATTTACTAGTTTTCCAGACTGTGCCTTTGACACACATCCCTTCCCCAGACAAGTCCAACTACAAGTTTGTGAATTTTAGTCCCAGTTTATCTGAGGAAAATATCATTAATATAATATACAGACTATAAGCGAATTATGCTCTTATAGTTACCAACTATGTTGGTTTGAAAATGTTCAAAATGGTGGTGAACTCCACTAATTCAGGGAAACATTTCTAGTCACCTCTTCTAGTCACATTTTTGTCGCATTTACAAATATTTAGGTGGTTATGTTTGACAGTAATGAAAATGCTATTAAACGTCTTTGTGTGTGTTTCACAGTGATGACTTAGGAAAAAGTGAACGAACCCTGCGTGGCAACTGGCTGAGTTATTGGGAACATTGTCTGGGTGAGTAGTGTCACCGTAGTGTGAAAAAATTTCCATACTAAATAGCACATTACAGCTATTCTTCAGATCTTTGTTACCTGTGATTGTGTGAGTTTATTTTGTTGTAATCTCAGCAAGTGTCATTTGATCCAAGCTCTTGGTCCTATTACGTACAGGATTTTTTTTTTGACTATTTTGACTTTGGCTCTTCCTCTATCATACATTGATATCTATATATATTCTAAAAATCTGGCCCAGAGAGTTATACTTGTTATTGACAACACAGAAATATTTCCAAACTATCAATACATAATTTATGTTTACAAACAACTTTTGTCATAGTGTTGGGGAGAAAAAACATCAAGATTTTACAGCATTCCGAATGATTTTTATAACATGTACCGTTACTCCCAAACAAAGCATTGAATTCAAAAGTCTATATTGTATATCCTACATACAGTGTGTGTGTGTGTGTGTGTGTGTGTGTGTGTGTGTGTGTGTGTGTGTGTGTGTGTGTGTGTGTGTGTGTGCGTGTGTGTGTGTGTGTGTGTGTGTGTGTGTGTGTGTGTGTGTGTGTGTGTGTGTGTGTGGGAGGGGTGATGGGAAAGCGACAGGTGTGGTGATTATACAAAACAAAGACAGTAATCTTATGATAGCCGTGTGTTTATTTACAGGTACAAGTGAGAGAGCAAGGGATTTTAATATTCATCAGATTAAACTGTCTACCTACTGTGGTACGTATGTTTAACATAATTTAAATACTGCAATATGTATCGGTATGTGTAACATACAGTACTCATTTTGCTCAATCTTCTGTTTTTAACTTTTAACGATAGATAAAAGCTTTATTCCAAATTTTACATTTATAATTTGGTGTTTTTATTATACCGAATAAATAAACACAGCCTAAATAGAACACCAGAGTCTGTAGTGTAGTATAAAACACTTTGTTTTTGCATGCATAATATAACATAGTATCCAGTACTGTAGTAGCTAGACACTAACAATTATTCACAAGGCTCAGGAATTATGTGTCATTTGTTTACTAATTAAGTATGTGAACATATCTTTTAATAATGCTTTTTCCTGAACTAAATTGAAGTGTGTCGTACATGTGAATGGTCAGAAAGGATACAAAGATTGTAAGAAAAAGAGAAAAAGTTGTCAAAAAAGGGGGTAGGTAGCTTGGTCACAAATGCACATGAATGAGGGCCTATTTTTGGCATAGCTATACAAAGTGCAACCTAGCCTCTTCCACTTGCATTGGAGACTGTATGTGGAATCAGAACAAGGTGCATTCCGCTTCCGCTATGAACAAATATGCAGCTGACGTCATGTTGTTGTTTGTAAATACTACATGTGTGCAAAATAAAAAATTGAGTCACCGAATATTCATTATTGACTCAAAGCCAATGAGTTTGATTCAGCACCACTCTTGTACATGAGGTACAATTTATATATTGTAACAATCATAATGATTCAGTGAAGACCTTTGCTACTGGAAATCATCACAGGTCTGATTCACATAATTGTCTCATGTTTCTCAGTTATGTAAACTGATTCACTGTACAGACTGTATACAATTAATTAGAGGTCAAATCCAATGCCTTGTAAAGGTATAGACACTTTTTGTTATTGAGTGAATAAATTTGAAACCTTGACTGAGTTGACATTGATGATTAGATGGCAAGATAAGCATTCAATTTTTATCAAATGTGCATCAGTGATTAGCTGAAATTTGGTTGGAACATGACCTAGATCAAAGAACTAAATTTGGCCCAAAATAACATTGATTCGGATAAAATAGTGATTGGTAAAAATGGTTATTATTGGGAAGACTTCTTTAAGCCCTAACTCCAACACTCCACCACCAGTGTATTTTTATATGCCCTTCCAGATAACTACACTTCTTGAAGAGGGGGGGGGGGGGTTTACTCCATATATAGATTTATTTCCAGCTGCTTTGGCATTTATATCAAGGTAAAAAATGAATACCAGTAATTGAAATAAACCTATGCAAAGATAGTGAGACAACCATGTTTGAATCACTGTGACCTCTTTAGGGACTGGCCATTTTTCTGGGGGGGGGGGGGGTCGATTTTATTGAGTGCAGAAAAAAATTACATCGTTTAAACAGACACAATATTCAAGTTCATGAACTTTCAAAATTCAAAACTTTTTTCCCCCACAAAATGTAAAGTTGATTGTATTTTTTAATTGTTAACAAACAAACAACAATGCTTGCACTCAAATAGTTTTCTTCTTTGAATAACTCAACTCATCAGAATGTATTATACCAAAGAAGGTAGCAATAAATTTGTATGATATATTTGAAATAAAATTTATTAATAAAATATATCAAAACAACAGTAAATAACATAACCTGGTATATGAGCTATTTGTAACTCCTAAATGTCAATATCTCCTGCACCACCTCAACAAAAGAAGGAGAAAGAATATAGAGACTTTATCTGGTTGGACATTATTGAAATGGTTAACTAAAAGATGATGATATCTGAGCTTGACAAATACATGCAACATAACAGTTTGATAGATATACAACAGGTTCTACAGAGGATGATTCAAAGATTGATTGTTTAAGAAATTGGGAGTCATAATTCTGAAGATGAAAAAACTGACACCATTCAGGATGTCTATATCACCAGATCAAAAAGGACAGCAAGAACCTGGAGACAAGTCACAAAACATTAACTTTAACTCTGGTAAACCAAGTAGTAGTAAACCAAAGAAAATGACCAGTCCCTTAGTTTAGGCCTGGCAAATATGTGTGCGATTACATATATGTCTGATATTTTTTCACATTTCACCCAATTCTCACGAAATATGAACAAATACGCAGATACTGGTCTCAAGGTGATGTCAATCTGTGCGTGCATGGAGCGCCCTCAATCAACTTTTTTTTGCTGTCACAGTTTGAAACCTTTATGAGACTACTTTCCAGAAAGTAGTGTGACTGGGTGAAAGCATGGCGCCTGCTTTTGTAATGACGGCAAATACAAACATGCCAGTCTGCTGATATTCAGTAAAAGTAAATCTTATTTTTATCGCGTTGATCATTCAAGAGCATTTGGTATGCCTGCCCAACTCCATAGACGACAATGTTAACATTTCGTTGAGAGTAGTGGTGGTGGGCGACATATCAATTTAAAGGCTTGATGGTCACTGTAGTAGCAGTCAATAGACCATTTCCCATTCTCTGCAAGATCCCCCGCTATTGGTGAAATCGAAAATAAGAACAGGACAAACAAGGGTGATAGTGTTGTAGTGGCGACAAACATCACGTGGGATTTGACAAATGTGAATGTATTTTGGGCGATATTTTCATGCTTAATAATGTGCTGTACACATTTGATGACGGTCAATTTCGATGAAGTAAGGGTATTCAAACGCAATATTCCACTGATCGGTCTTCGCATGTGAGCAATGAAATAAAGAAATTTGAGTTCGAAATCAAATCTATCAATTTTGTTTCAGACGTTCAGCGCATTTCTTTCACGCAACTCGCGAGATCTCACAGTTGAATGGAAAATCAGCTATTGGTGATGACTTTGACAAAATGACTCAATCAAAACTATGAACTGTACCAATTTCTTGTTAAACAATTCTTGGGGGAGGGGTACATTTTGGCCATCATGTTAAATATTTTGTTTTTTTCAATAGGTCATACCAGTTCAGTCCGATCATTATGTGTCTTAGACAATGAAACATCTTTCATGAGCTCCAGTAAAGATAAAACAGTAAAGTTATGGTCATTACGTAACCGTGGTGATGGGTCCAGTCGAATGTCATGCCAGTGGACATACAATTCACATAAGAAGTCTGTATTTAATGTGACGTTCTTGGAATCTATGCGGTTGTGTGCTTCATGCGACAGTAACGTTCATGTAATTATTTTATCTTTGTCTACTTTTCTGCAGTTTTAACTTTTTCACGAAGGTTCTTGGCGGCATTTGTTTTTCACAAGTTGATTGTACTTGTATGCTGCTCCATAAATATAATCTTACAAATGTACCATACTCAATACATACAGATACACTTGCCTGGCTCAATTTTATTTTCCGTATGTTTATATCATTATATGTATTTTCACTTCAGTGTGTAAAGCACATAATTACTGGGTAAAATCTTTGCGGTTGCCCTTTCTGTCTGTCTGTCTGTCTGTCTGTCTGTCTGTGTGTGTGTATGGATGTATGTAAATCTGTACCACTATCATTTCTAAAACCAATCATCGGATTTCAATAAAACTTGGTACATAGATGCTCTGAAATAATGCACAGATGTGTTAGGCTCTTGATGGAAATTTATTCAAAATAAATAATTAATAATTTGAGAATAATTCTTAGATTTTCAGCTGTTCCTTTCATATGCCTACTCTCATAACTACTCAAAAGATTTCAATAAAACTTGATATATACCGGTAGGTGCTCTAGGAGTGTCCACAGACCTGATTTGTTCTTGGATAAGACCATAGACATTAAATATCTGATTTGCATAATAATTAATCATTTTAAGTTGTTTATATTCATATCTTGGGAAGCCATCAAAGGATCTCAATGAAACTGCGTACCCGGTAGGTGCTCTGGGATGTATATTAAGGTATATTAGTGATGCACTTTTTTTGCTTTTTATTATCCTAACAGTCATGGCTATAGACTGTTAAAATTATGTAGAATAAAAATTATTGTGAATAGTGGAACATACTCAAAAAACTATTTTAACATATAGATGACAGGTGCAAACACTCTCTCTTTTGAATGCTTAGCAAGATTTAGCAAGGCTGTACAAAATAGTAAACAGATGTACCCATGAACCAATTTTGACAGGAAACAGAAGCATGATTTAGAAGCTAATTTTTTTTAAATCACTTTTGACCAAAAAAGCACATTTTTGTGCATATTTCAAACTACAGTGACCATAAAAAAAATACTAACAAAATTTTAAAATTCATACAATAAGCTTTCCGCAAATATATAGTTTTGTGGACAAGGGAGGTCATCTTGGTTTCCTAATTAACGAATTAAAATAGCTGTAAGGTAAACTGCATCTCTACCTTAAATGGCTAATTTGAATAAATTGCTTAATAGATTTCAATGAAACTTACGGGTGCTGTGGCATAATCCTCACACCTCGTTAGTTTTGATCTGAAACATGTTGGAATTAATTACCTATTTTGTATAATAATTAGCCAATTTTTAGCTGTTACACTGATATCTGATGAACTACTATGGATTTCAGTGAAACTGGTCTATAGGTGTTCTGAGATAATCAACAGACCTAAGTTTTGGGTGTGCATATTAATTACATAATTGTCATTATAATTAGCCAATTTCCAGCTTTTCCACTTGCGTACAATCATGTTTATTTATAAAGTTTTCTGTTATTATCAACTTTAATCAAGTGGATCAGATTTGTTTCACATTCTCTTATTAACTAACATGCTTCTTATTTAGTAGATTGATCTTAACTCTTGTATATTTTTTTTTGTCTATTTCAGCCTTCAGTCATTGTATTCTATAAGCACACAGGAGTTTTTTCTAAGCTGTTTTTGATTACTCATTTTGAAGACACAGTTCTGAGTTTGTCATAGGATAGTTTTAATAGTCTCAATATGGTTTTTATTCAGATCTGGGATCCTTTCACTGGTAGTCGTGTATTTCAGTTCAATATGTCACGGAATCCAGTCAGTGTCATTACGCCGATATCAGCTCCATCTACATCACTATTAGCCGCCACTGTGGACACCACACTTTGTGTGTTAGATATTAGAAGTGGGAAATATCAGCAGGAATTGAAAGTCACGTCAGGGTCATCAGGTAAGATTTCTCCAATATTCAACAATTAAACTGAAATTACGATCATTTTAGATTATCAAAAAACTAGCCTAATTATCTTGAATTATCAAAACAAAAAAAATTAAAACCACTTATTTTTTTCAATTTTCCCTTGGACAAGAAGCAAACCGTTTTTTTTTTGGCTTAATTATTTGTTTAATATTTAAAGAAGCAATTATATCTATTCTATATCAGGATCTACCGTATTTGATGCTGTTATTATCAAACTTGTTTGTATTTATCATTTAATAATTCTTCATTTGCTGATTACTGTAACAAATACTGGTACACAATAGAATTTTGAGTGTTATTTGTTTGTAGGCCTTGTTCGCTGTTTGTCCGTTAGCAACAGTGGTAATGTTGTAGCTGTTGGGTTTTCGTCTGGTATTCTCTCATTGGTTGATATCAGGACTGGTTTATTACTTGGCGGCTGGAAAGCACATGAAGCAGAAATATTACAGGTAGTTATATTTAAAACTGCTTGATAATTAATGGCATTCTTATGGGTCTATTTTGGGGTGATTGGAGAAGGAATCAATGAGTGTGCATTGAGGCTTGTCAACAATGACAAGTGACAATATTTTAGCCAATGTCAGGGTGAACTTGATCTGTCTACTAATTTGTGGTTTGAAATAAAATTACTTTTCAGATAACCTTGCTCATTTCTGTTTTCAATATAAAACATTTAAGTTGATACTGTGTCCATGATGGTCATTACAATTTAAATTGCAAGTGTGCATCTACATGAGATTTTTATTGCATGCACTATGCCTTGTTAAGAAAATTGCATGCCTTTATTACTCTGTTCCTTTGATATAACCCAAGGTTGACCACTCTGTAAGATTATTTTCATTAATATTATTTGATTCTTCTAGATATAACAAACTATTTACTATTTGGAATAATTTGATTACTGTGGAGTTGATTTCTTATTCAGTGGGAACTAGACTGACTGTAGCATAGTTCTAATTGAGAAACATATATTAATATGCATCTTATGAAACATTTTTTCTATTACAGGTAAAAAATATTGGGAACAGTCATTTTGTCACTTCCTCAATTGATCACCATCTAACTGTTTGGGGAGAAGATGGAACTGAAAGAGCAATATTACGAGGTAAGTCTCAACCAATATTACTTCCATACTTTTGTAATTTTGTAATGGCGATCTTCTCATGGCTACAGTTCCCAACAGAGACCCAATTTTTTAACAAAATAATCTGTTCAAAGATTTCATCTTATCAATGCTGTATCTATGTTTATATGTTTTGTGACTAAGTTCAATATTTTTCATCAAATGTAGGCATAAATGAGCCAGTTCATAGTATTTCTGTTTATGAAGACCAGATCATATCAGCTACCACAGCAAATAAATTGGCTGTACATTCTAATGTGAGCGGGGGAGCACAGGTAAGTTAGATATGTGATAAACTTAACCATGAGATTTATGTGATGATCTAATTACTGGATTCATACTCTTGATAGACTCTTGTTATGGTCCAATATTGGTCACTTCTACTGCAGTGTAATA